AAAATCTCACCTTAGGTCTCAGATTCTTCTCCAAATCAAAATTCCAACCCCTATAATAAGGAAACGATGGCGACCCGCTCCGTCCAAGGATCTGGAGACAATTCGAAGAGCTCGACGACGACGAAATCGCGTGAGTCGTCGACAACGACGATCCCAGAGGACTATTATCCATCCCAGGAAACTTCTGGTTGTCGAGGGGCCACCTCGACGCGGGGTCGTCGAGGCCTCCACGCCATTGGAGGATGAAGGCAAAGAGAGCTAGGGTTAGAGGGAGGATAGTGAGGAGGAGGAGGAGGCGAGAGGAGAAGAGCTGGCTTGATGAAGTCGAAGATCGAAGGGGGGGCGCTGAGGCTTCCAGTTGAGGAGGTGTGGTTGTGGGTGAGGGAGGGCATGAGAGAGAGTATGGACAAATTTTCAAAACCAACCGTTTTAGGATTTTATTTGTAAAAACCGACCCCTTTTGAAAATAATTGCAAAAACCGACCTGTTTTCAGCCTAGCGCTGAAAACATGTCGGTTTTTGTGAAAAGTTCTCCGAAACATCACGGGAGTTCAACTTCCGTGAAGTTTATGGGGAAATTAAACTTCACGGGAGTTCAACTCCCGTGAAGTTTAATTTTCGTTTAAAACTCCACGGGAGTTGAACTCCCGTGGAGTCACAGTCAACAATTACAGAGAATCGAGTCTCTGGCAGAGTACGACTGCAGCTTCACGGGAGTTCAACTCCCGTGAAGTTGCAGTGCCAATCTTCCAGAGATTGAGTCTCTGGAAAATTGGCACTGCAACTCCACGGGAGTTGAACTCCCGTGGAGTTTGCTGCCACCTATTTAAGCGCGCGTGACCTACCCGACCCCAGCCCACAAACCCTAAACCAATTTATTTGCAAACAACAATATATACATGATTCAACCATGAATTATAACTCATATATATGCCAATTTATTTGCAAACAACAATATATACATGATTCAACCATGAATTAAACACACACGATTATGTATATGAACAATAATTTATCTTCAAAAGTTTAGTATTTGAAAATTCAGGAAAGTTATAAATTTTAACAAAATAAGTTTAAATACAACCCAATATAGCTCCTCTCCTTCCTCTCCCTCTCTTCCCCTCCCCCTCGCTCTTCCCCGCCCCCGCGTTTCTGCTGATGAGCCTCAACTATCTGAGTATCCGGCTGTGTATGAAGTTGCGAAGTGCCGGCTCCATCGGTATGCGAAGTGCCGGCGTCATCAGCATGCGAAGTGTCGGCTCCATCGGCATGCGAAGTGCCGGCGTCATCGGCATGCGAAGTGCCGGCTCCATCGGCATGCGAAGTGCCGGCTCCATCGGCATGCGAAGTGCCGGCGTCATCATCACGTGAAGTGCCGGCCCTGCGCTATGCTCTTATTGATCCTGCTGAGGAGCCCTAACGCCACCTGATCCTGAATCTCAGTCACGTGCGCATCAATATCAGCATCAATGCTATCTAAAACACGGACCTGCGTGGTAAACAATTTATTAAGTATCAACTTAATAAAAAATGTTATAATTTAGCTTAGAAACTTACGTAATCTCTCTCGTTCATCCCACTAGGGATGTAACTATCTGTCGGTGGGCGTGGCATGTGTCCAGCTAAAGGCTGTGGGTCACGCGTGATCCATCTACGTGTGATACCCCAATACCAACGCATATACGTGGTATAGTCAACAGCTGTGGGCCTCGTATCCTGTATGCAATCCCACCTCTGAACCCACCTGTCTATGTAGGCCGCACGGACTACGGCCCAGTCAGTCCGGTGCGATGTAGGGCGCCGCCGACGATTGATCTGCTCGACAGGATCTGGAATATGCTGAGAGAGTGTAAACTGCCGTAGCACACGGTCCGGTACATGCATCTCTACGATCTCCCAACAGATCAATGGAACTCTGGCTCTCCACAAGTCGGGACTATCTCGGCAGATAGGTGCAAGAGAATGTATATCGAGCTCCGGCGGTGTATAGGGTCTCCACTTGAACTGAAATAAAATAAAACATTTATCAGTATCATACAGAAAAACTATAATATTCATACTTCTTGAGTTTTATATTTACCTGTTCATGCTGGAGGCCATCAAGCTCATTTCGGTAAAACTGACGGTGACGCGTCGCTGATTTGTACTGAGCGTATCGCACGTTATACCTATATGCAGAATAGCGAATATATAAGTACAAATATTCAGGTTACGAATGAAATATGTGTGTGTACAATTATACCTGTATGCCAACGGATACTGCCCCTCTAAGTCACGGTGCATAAGTAAAGTGGGTCGTCCAATATGAATGCGCTCCCATGACCAAATCTGTATCAACGTACAGCATCCCTTGAATTCTTTATTCTGCATCAGAGATACTCTACTCAATTCTCGATACAAATATGCCAACACCGCACTGCCCCACGATAGTGCCCCGCATACACCAAAATCCTCCAGCAGTGGCAGCCATCGTGCATGTACGAGAGTCTTGCTCGCATCAGGAAATAGTACGCACCCTATCATGTGCAATATGTATGCACGAGCATGAAACTGGAGCGTCTCATCAGAGGCATCCTCTGGTATGTCGCCCTGAAATGTCTGACGAAGCCACGATAGCTTCATCGCACCACTCCTCAAGTCGGGAACCTGTCCAAGTAGCCGGGCACATACCTCCGGCCAACTATGATCGTCGGTGCCCGTAACTACCGGTCCATCAATCCGGAGCCCAAGTATGACGGCCACGTCCTGTAAAGTGATCGTGCACTCCCCTATATGCATGTGAAAGGTGTTGGTCTCTGGCCTCCACCTCTCAATCAAAGCAGTGATAAGCGGCCAATCAAGCCTGATATAACGAATCGTCGAACACGGTCGAAAACCGGCCTGAGCGATCAAAGCTAGTACCCTCTCATCCTCTATGACCCATGCCGAATGACTATGGGAATGCTCGATCATCGTGTACTCTGGTACGGGCTGCACATAAAACGAGAATCAGTTTTAAGTATATTCATTAAAAAATTACATTAATCGAAGAAATATATATCTAATTTATTCGTATTACCTCTCCCGAACCAATATGGTCTGAACAATGACTCGCCTGAAGGTACAAAACGTCGGGATTCTCCGGTCCCGGATCCATAATGAATAGACCTGTGATTAAAATATGAGCATATATACAGAGTGCATGGGTGGCGGGAAATGTCGTTGGAGTGCTCTTGGAATTCCTTTCATCCTATCGGATATGAATGTAATATGCCGCGTCCCCACACTAGGGATATGATATCTAATGCATGCAAAAAACCAAGCCCAATTCTCTGTATTTTCAACATCAACCACTGCGAATGCTAAAGGAAACAACCCGCCATCCGCGTCAACTCCGGTTGCAACAAGCAAAACGCCTTTGTATTTACCATATAAGTGAGTTCCATCAATGCTAAGAAGAGGACGGCAATGACGAAACCCCTCAATACAGGGCCCAAATGCCCAAAATACACCGGTGAACCGCCGTTCTCCGCCATCAACGGGGTCCGAAGATACTTCGTAGACAGTCCCCGGATTTTCTCTTTTGAGTGCTTCAAGATAATGAGGTAAGATCTCATACGATTTATCCCAATCCCCGAATATTTTTATCATCGCCTTCCTCCTAGCATTCCAACACTTGTGATATGATACATCCAAGTTGGTGGCTTTATGCACTAAAAGACGGATATCTTTCGGCCTTAGATCAAGATCCTCCCTCAGATGCGGTAAAATCAATCGATATATAAAAGAAGAGGACGCATTCTTGTTATTCATCTCTAATCGAGGATTGCTACAAGTGTGGAGTCCATTGTATGCCGTGATTTTGAATTGCCCACCTACTCTTGAACCCGAGCGTGAATTAAGCTTCCACGGACACCTCGCATTGCCGTCGTGGTGTCCACTATTATCTTCGACATCGTCATCTTTGCGATAGAAACAAACCACATTATAGCTTGTAGTATTATTTTTGGTTGGCCTGAACTTCACATTTTTTGCAATGGAATACGTGCGAATAGCATGGATCAATTTCTCCTTACTCTCGTAAAGATCTCCCTTGATGAATGAGAAGTCCTCGGCCTGTGTATCAACACCGCTATTATGAACAGCTCAGTGTTAAGAAACGACAATGAACGTCACTATCCGGTTCACAGGAGTTCGATTGACGTCGGTGAACGCTTGAAGTGAATCGACGAACTACGTGAGCCGACAGAATTTCGGAATAACGAAGGTACGGGCTAATCGAGAGCCCCGCGGTGTTTACAAAAGGAACAACGCCTTTCGTGTCTCATTCATTCAACAGATGATCCAATCATTGGAGCTGATAGAACTCCTTGTCGGCTTTCCAACGCATTTGGAATCACTCAGATCCGGGTTCAGACAAAGAAGTTACAGCGAAAACGGTCAAACGAGCATTGAAAACGTCTCAGAGCTGAACCGAGGCACCTACGGTGTCTCGGCCAAGTCAAGACACCCCAGGGGTGTCTCAACTCAGATTTGACCCCTTTGGGTGTCTCGGCCAAGCCAAGACACCCCTAGGGTGTCTCAGCGCGGATTTGGGCCCTTTAAGTGGTTTTAACCGCTCCGCAACCCCTCATGCCTATAAATACAAAGCCTTAGGCCTCATTTTTTCAGATCTGGAATTTTGGAGAATTGGCGAAGCCCTGCCGGAGTGAAGAGTGATCGAGTACTTCAACGCAAGAGAGTTTCTTCGTCAGATCTACATCACCCGTACCCGATCCTTAGTATTATCCCGTTGTGGTAATACTAAGAAGAGCAAATATTTCGCTTTTATCGAAATAGGCGCTTCAAGTTTCTAGATCTCCTCGCGGATTGACGAAGCTCTGGATCAGATCTGATTGCCAGGTAGTCCACGGATATCGACGTCCCCGTCACAGGCTAAAGACCCACGCAAGCAAGAGACGACGAACAGAGACCACAGTGGGAGCCAACGGCCTCGCTGCCGAGGCCGTCGGGACGCAACCGGCCTTCAAGATCTGGGTGAACGAAGAGATCGAATACGAGTTCGATCACAACGGCCTCGTTTCCGAGGCCGTCGTGACGCAACCGGCATTCAAGATCTGGGTGAACGAAGAGATCGAATACGAGTTCGATCAACAGAAGTTTGAAGAGTGCCTCTCTTCCTCCTCCTCCAGATCCGCCTCTCCGAACAGGCGCAGGAAGATTTCATCTTCCAAGAGTGCTCGCGGGCCCTTAGGATCGAAGATCCAAGATCCCCTCGCCGCCGTTGCACTTACTCCCCGCGACGCTCCTATGGCGTCTAACGTGGTCGAAGCTGCAGATCCAGATCTCCCTTCCGCCGCAAAGTCAACTGCTGAAGGTGTTCCAACCTTGTCAAAGAGGGCGCGCCAAAGACGGCGCCAACGCCTTGCGCGACAACTGGCCAAGGCCACAGAATCGATGGACGGGATCCGATACAGGGAAGATCTAAAGTCCAGACAGTGCCAAGAGCAACAACGACGCACAACCAACTCCTCCTCCAAGACAGAGACGAACGAATGGGTTCGTGTCAAGAGGACTCGCTCAACCCTCGAAGAGCGAATCAAGAAACGCTGCGCATTGCTTGCGCATGCCCGAGTCCTTCTGCAGAAAGCGGAAGAGATGCAGAAAGAAGAGACGGTCAAGAAGCCATCAAAATACAAGTAGATGTGGGTGCCAAAGGCAAAACCGGCACCAAAGGCAAAAGTGGACGGAATTGTCGTCCAAACTTCATCAAATCCAGATCCCGTTTCCCTTGCCCCTCCGGCGGAGCCAGGTAAGAACGTGGGTCTTCCTAGATCCAAGGTTCCTTTGAAAGGTCGCATCGGTCCTTTACCGGGAAACCGAGGTAAAGCACCTGTCAAGGAGCGATTGGGACCGATGAAAGGTCCCCAAACAACAAACCAGACTGGGGGTCGTGCTCAAGAGCCCGTTAAGTTTTCACGCTCGCAAAAGCGTAGACTTGAACGAGCGAATTTTGAAAACGCTAATAAAGCGTCATATCCCCAGAGGGAAACACATTCGTCTGATGATGATGGTGTTATACCTGGGAAGTCATGCCAACACTCTATGGGTTGCTCCAGTTATCAAACTGACGAGTTGTACTATAGAGCTGGGGGTGCGGGTAAGTCTCGAAAGAGAGATGCTCGAGACACGGAATCTCACTGTCCGTGTGCCAACATAATCAAGACAATGCTGTCAGAATGCTGCTGCACTAAAGCCCCAAGGAGAGTTTCGGTGTTCGAGAGAATTTCCATCGGAACGTCCGAGACCAGGCCAAGGCGTTTCCGTAGGAAGAAGCCTGTCCGCCAAGAAGACGAACTCCTAGAGGTGTCTGCTAATATGACTGGCAGAGGGAAATTGACGTGACACTCTAGCTCAGATTAACTTGCCGAAGCATCCCAACGCATGACTCGATTGCAGTCAAGGATCAATAGGCGAAAGAATTACCAAAGGATGCAAAAGGGACTTCCTTTGGAAGAGGAGGTGTCAGATGCTGGTTCAGATTCCTGCTCAGCTATAGCATCCGATGACACGGCGTCTAGTGCGGGGCAACCCTACGAGTCGTTTATGATCAGCGCCGAACAAGTAACCAAGATGCTTGAAGATGCCTTGACTAAGCAGAAAGAGGCATTCAAGTTCGAGATGGAGATGACCATGCAGCAGATAAGAGAGATGCATGACCAGCAAATAGCGACACTGACAACTCACCAAGGAGAACCCAATCGTCGCAATAATCCGAATCAAGAGGAGAATGAACGGGAAGAGGATAATACCAACATGAACATCCCTCCCGTCAACAACAATAATGGAGGTGGTCCCTCGGATGATAATGCGAAAGAGGATCACGTTACCTCTCCCCGAAACCACTCGAAGACAGATACGAGTGAAGACAAGAAAATGAAGGACTTGGAGAGCAAAATCAACGCGTTGATGAATGCTCAAGAAGTGAAGAGGTCCGGCATACCATGTCCATACCCAAGGGAGTGGGAATCAATTCCATATCCGGTGAAGTTCAATTTAATCAACTTTACGCCGTTTGATGGAAAGGGTTCCCATACCCAACACTTAATATATTTTAAGTCTCACTTAGGAATAATCTCCGGGAATGAACCCTTAATGGTGCGGTCATTCGTTGGCACTCTTCGCGGAGCAGCCTTCGATTGGTATCATCGCCTCAAGCCGGGGAGTATCAGTAGCTGGGATGACATGGAGGACATGTTTCTAACGAACTTCTTCGACGACGACACCGAGGTCTCAATCGGTACTCTGTTTGATGAGAAACAGAAGAATGGTGAGACAGTCGAAAACTTCGTGAAGAGATTCCGAAATAAAGCAATGAATTACAGGGATCCGGTCAGCGAAGATTTCATCCTCGAGACCTGTCATAATAATTTTTTATTGGACATCCTGGAAGCTATGGGAATGACACCACCAAAGACCTGGAAGGATCTGAAGGTGCGAGGAGAACGAGCCGAACGATTCCTTAAAAGGAAGAAGGCAGAAAGGGGCCAAATAGCAAATAACGCTCCGCAACAGAACTTTGTCCCTAAGGGTAAGGGAAAAGCACATGCGAATGCTGTGGACGCGAATCAAACATTCGAGGTGCAAGCACAACCGCAACAACAGCAACAAAAGGCGCCTCAACAATCAAGATGGCAACAACAGCCCCAGAAGCCAAAAGCCTCAGAGCCGAAGTTCCCGAAGGTCTATTCGTTTAAAGAGGATGAAGTCCCCGGTATCTTCAAGTACCTCATTGAGAATAACAAGATCAAATTGCCTCCAGTCCAGGATCAGGAAGATGCTAAGAGAATCAATGATCCAAAATACTACGTATTTCACAGAGTAGTGCACCATCCTACCAAGGCATGCTATGCCCTTAAAGACAAGATTCAAGCTTTGATCGACGTCGGGATTATTACTATGAAGCAACCTAAGGAGAAGAAGGTGGGTGCAAATGCAGTATCGATTAGTTTCGGTTCTGTTCCCTTGAACTGGTTCCAGCATGAGCCGGTAATAAATGCAGCAGTAAAGACCGTGAACGATGATCCTCACAAACAGCGCCAGAAAGGACTTGTACCGCACACAGCCCCGAATGGTGAGATTCTTTGGGTTCATCCAGATTTGGTTGGAGATGAACAATGGACTGGAGTCTCTTCCAAGAAAAAGTCAAAAGGAAAAGGTAAGTCTTGTTATGGAGCTTTTGCTATTCCAGGAAAAGACGACGAGGAAATTCCAGCCTTCCCGCTTTCTGAAGGCGAACAGGAAGCCTTCGTAACACGGAGTGGGAATGAATATCACTACAAATATCCGGATGCTTCTGAGCAACTGGGAGCAAACAAAACCGTTCCCTCAAAGACGCTGGCAGAACTGGGAATTGTCGCAACTCCCCCAACACCTGTAGCTACGGAGAAAGTCCAGCAAAAGGAGAAAGGAAAAGAGCCTCTACACCAAGAAGTCCAAAACCCGAGGCAGTCTCGATTCAATCATCCGATTGGGAAAGACAAACCGGGAAAGGCAAGCTCTCCGCCCCATTTTGACATCATGGCTCAGTTAGCTAATATACCAGCAAGGATAACCCTGTACGAATTGTTGAGTCTTTCAAAAGACACAAGGAAGGCATTGCAGGAAGCCTTGAGCGACTCCGAAGCTTTCTTGACTCGAATTAAGCCGTCTTCTGGAGAACCGGAGCCATCAGTTCAACACTGTAATCTCGCGGCACACCATTTTCCTTGCATCTCTTTTACCAAAGAAGACATGCATACGAAGAACTCAAAACATGATCGGCCTCTGTATTTCACTGGCCACATTGGCTCAGCATGGTCAACCGGATCCAAGTTGATCCGGGTTCTGCTGTTAGCATCATGCCATTCCGACTGATACATCATCTCAGAATTTCGACTAGCAAACTAGCCTCCACCGGCACTATGATTTACGGATTCAACACCAGCGGGTCCAGACCCTTGAGGAAGATTCGAATCAAATGCCAGATCAGGGATTTAAAATCAGAAGTTACCTGCTATGTGATTGACGTAGAAACGTCCTATAACTTACTGTTGGGTCGACCTTGGATCCACGGTAACCTTATAGTCCCGT